GGAATTCCAGAGTGGGAATTGCTGAATTGTACCAACCCTCCTTAAATTGAGCCCTGGGTCAGCTCTAAACCTGAGCTGGGCTGGTGTACGAGCCAGGCAGCATCTGTGGCATGACCTGAATGCAAACTGGATCAGGGTGTGTGAGCTGGCACCAAGCTTCCAAATTTAAGTGTCAGAATAAAAAAAATATGCATAAAAATGATGGAATTATAGCCTAAAATATTCCATCTATATTTAACCTATAGCCACGGTTTGGGAGCATGCAGGAAAGGCACAGCCTACTATGGATTTCCTTTGAGGAAAAACAGGGGCTTTGCAGAGGATCTTGCAAGTTTTGATTTTTTTGTGGGGTTTTTTTGGTTTTTTTTTGTTGGTTTTGTCTTTGTTTTTTTAGTTTTTTGATGTTTAATTTAAGTTGTTTTTAATAAAATAAATTCTAAAAGAGCAGTTCAGGCTGTGGGGTGTTAAATGTGGCACGGGGGGTTTGGTGCTGCTGCCCAGGATTGGGATTTCAGAGCTGGGCTCCTCATGCTGTTGCAACAAGCTGCATCTTGTGTTTGCTGCTGTCTCAAGGAAGATGAAGTTGCTAACGAGCTGATTTTGCCGCAGGGAAGGTCTGGAATTCGGGCAGAGCAGAGGATTGGGGAGCTGTGAATGTGCCCTTTGTGTCCTGCAGGATGTTCCCAGGCTCCCGCTCCAGACGTGCCTGTGACGTTGGGAGAGAGCAATGAAAGTCAAATATTGATTTTAAATCGCTTTTCTTCGCTCCTTGAAAACCTTTTCTTTCTCCTAGCCGGTTCCATGGAGCTGCTGTTAAGGCAGAATTAGTTGTCCAGCTCAGTTCCAGCTATTTTCTGGAGCAGTTGATTATTTGGGAATTAATTTGGCTGCTTGCAAACAGGAGTGTGCCTGACAGGCAGCTCAGTGCTTGAGCTGGCCTGGCTTCTGGGAACGCCTTTGTGCTTCCAAGGGAAAGATTTTCAATGATATACCCAAGCCTTCATGTAATCCCAGGCAATTTGGGGTAAAATAAGCTTATCCCTGGAGTCACTGTGCCAGATTGTCAGTGCTGCTCAGGTGTGGGGGTGCAGGGGTCCCAGGATGAGGGAATAGATGAGGATCTGACTCCGTGTTTCACAAGGCTGATTGATTATTTTATGATATATATTATATTAAAACTATACTAAAAGAATAGAAGGAAGGATTTCATCAGAAGGCTGGCTAAGAATAGAAAAAGAAAGAATGAATAGCAGAGGTTTGTGGAAAAAGAAAGAATGAATAGCAGAGGTTTGTGGCTTGGACTCTCTGTCCGAGCCAGCTGGGCTGTGATTGGCCATTAATCAGAAACAACCCCATGAGCCCAATCCCAGATGCACCTGTTGCATCCCACAGCAGCAGATAACCATTGTTTGCATTTTGTTCCTGAGGCCTCTCAGCTTCTCAGGAGGAACAACCCTAAGGAAAGGATTTTCCATAAAACACATCTGTGACACTGAGGTGCAGGGGTGCACAGGGCTCTGACCTCATGGACACAGCACAACGTTGTGCTGAGATTTTTACTCCTCATCCATGGCAAGAATTGGCTGTTTGCTGAGCTGGATCAGGGCATTTCCTGCAGCTCCTTGCTCTGGAGCACTCTTGGCTGGGCTCTGGTGTCCCCTCCTCGGCCTCCTGGGGCTGCTCTGCTCTCTCATGGCCTCCTCTCCTTTCTCCCCAGGACTTGAAGAAAGCAGGGCTGCTGATCTTTGCCAACAAGCAGGATGTGAAGGAGTGCATGACAGTAGCTGAGATCTCCCAGTTCCTGAAGCTGACTTCTATTAAGGATCACCAGTGGCACATTCAGGCCTGCTGTGCTCTCACTGGAGAAGGGTAAGAGGGATTTGTGTCCTCAGGAGGGGAAGCTGGAATTATTCTGGGGGTTGTGTTGTGGTGTTTGGGTTTAACACACATTCCTGCCCTGTCCAGAATCCCAGGATGGTTTGGGTTGGAAAGGACCTTAAAATCATCCCAGCCCTGGCATGGCAGGGACACCTCCCACTGTCCCAGGGTGCTTCAAGCCCTGTCCAGCCTGGCCTGGGACAGTTCCAGGGACCCAGGGGCAGCCACAGCTGCTCTGGGCACCTGTGCCAGGGCATCACAGCTTCATAATCTTGATACTTACAAGATTTTTGGGCTCAGAACACCAAATACACATCACACCCACAGTGGCACCTCACAGCAATAAGACTTGATATGATTTGGGTTTAATGAGGGTGGGATGAGGTGGGGGCAAACTGAAATGTGGTTTCTTAAGAATGTTCCTAATTAGAGAGAACTTAATTTGTCTTGAAAATCTGGGATCTGAATTCTCTGGCCACAGATGATGTAATAAGATTGAGCAATACAGGGAGTGAGGAGTTTCCAGAAATGATGGAGAGTTCTTGGGAAGAGTTGAAATTGTTGGTGTGCAGTTACCTTTGGAGCATTCCCTGACTGGTGTCTCCTGTGTCCCCAGGCTGTGCCAAGGACTGGAGTGGATGATGTCCCGCCTGAAGATCAGATGATTTTTAATGACCTCTTTGCACAGACATTGCTGCAGCAGAGCTGTTCCAGTGGCACATTGGTGGGGTGGATGTATTTATACGGAACTGATGGCAACTGTATTTTCTACATAGCTGCACACACACACACACACACACACACACACACACACAGAGACAGACAGACACAGACAGACACACGGACAGGAGCTGGGAGCAGGCACAGAGCACAGGAGCTCTCGGGGCTCCGGGTTGGGTCGGGCTCCTCGAGGACGCGCTCGGAGCTGTGACCAACCTTGTTTCCAAGCTGCCCCTCGGCACAGCCAGCCCCGGGTCTGGGGAGGATGGAGAGAGGGGCAGGAGCTTTCAGTGCAGAGTTTTCTGGTCCCACTGTGGCCCTCTCCAGTGGGAGGTGCTGCTTCATTGTCCCAGGAAATCAGCGAGCGGATCACTGGCGCAGGGATCGACTCTCCGGCGTTTCTGAGGCGGCCGACGTTACCAAGGCAGAACTCTTTTCCTGTATGTGTACTGTACATATTTGTGTATATTTATACCTCAATCCTAGGTTCATTGCAATCTGCTCAGCCCAGTGTAAAGCTGAATCAGTATGTTGGCAGTAGTGCTGATCTGTGGCACGGCCACGTCCCCGTGTCCCCCGTCCCTCTGTGTGGCTGTAACGTCAATCACACCTGGTCAGCAAACCCTTCTTCAGCCCATTGCTTGTTTTTCCACATGATTCTTGGGTTAGGGAGGAGGCTGGAATGGATTGAGGCACACACAGTTTGAGCTTCATATTCCAGGGTTGGCAAACAGAACAAATTTGCCCAAGAGTTGCAGATGAAATGGGTTTTCCTCTTTCATTGTGGTCATCGTTGGATTGGGTGATGCTGCAGGTCCTGTCCATTGCTTTCCTTCTCTGCTGTGCTGGTTGATTCAGGTCTGGCAGAAATACCTTTGGCTGTCAAAAAGGGAAAAAAAGCATCTTTTCTTTTTCTTAACCAAAGAAGAGGCACAAAAGTAAGTTTGAAAGTGTCACTGGAACTGTACAAGTCAGACTCTAATGAAGTGTTTTTCAGAGATAAAACTCTCTTTGCTGCATAAAGTGTGCAGATACTAAAATGTGCAGATATAGCACCATGCAGTGGAGGGGACTGGCTGGGGACAAAGCAGATGACACTACTTGAGAAGCTCCAGGTGACCCACACGAGTTCCAGGGCAGAACTTGAGAGCAGAGCCCCTTGCATGGTCCCCAGGCAGTGGGAGAACACTAGGATCACCTTTTCCTGCTGGGATGGCAGTCCCAGGCACAAGGGGGTCACAATTCCCACTCAGAGGACCTGGGCAGCTGGGGAGGCAATGGGGTGGTTGGAAATGTCAGGCTCTTCTGTGGGAGATGCGTTGAGAGTTCAGCAGAATGAAACAAAACTGTGTTTAAAGTGTTCTTCCCTTTCTCAGCCCCGTGCCTGGCAAGGAAAAGGCATTTTAAAGACATTTTAAAGCTTAGTTTGAACTTTTTAAGGTGCTTCTCTTTGGTTCTGGGATAATCTGGTCAGCTCCTGCCTTGCTGCCCACCTGCCTCCCTGGGAGCATGGCAATCCTGGGGAAAGGAGGGGAGGCAATCTCTAAGTCTGTATTTAACAAAGGCAGGTAAAGAATTTAACTTTTTAATCTATTTTTGGTATCTCCAACGCTCCCTGGCTGGGGGATCTGCTGTCTTTGTTAACCATTAAGGTGTACATGCATATATCTCTAGTGCATGCACATAGATCTTGGTATTTAACTGGTGTATTGCAAAATGTATCAATGTTTGAAGAATTAACAATTTAATGCAAAGACTCTCTCAGTTTCTCTGACAGTATCTACAAGCAACGAGCTCTGTGCACACTTGCATATGAAACGGAATTGTACATTTTCTAGTCTAAAAAAAGAAAAAGCAGACTTGCTTCTAAACCCAAGTGTTTGGTTTTTGAGTTTTGTCTTCCCTGGGCTGAATCCCGCAGGCTGGGTGAGCTGGTTGGTGAGAGAAGGAGCTGCTGCTGGTGGTGGTGGGGCAGTGCTGGGTTTCTGCTGCTTGGCTGTGCCTCTGCAGGAGCTCTGGCAGATGCTGCAGGTGTGGGCTGTGCTACAAAGCAGATCCTCTGTGTTTACACAGCCCTTAGGTTGGTTTTACTCTGGCCCTGCCCACGCCACTTCCCTTGCTGTGGCCTCTGAGGTTCACCTTGGCTTGGTTTCCCCGTGGCCACAGCAGGGCCTGGGAGTGCCTGCACACCTCAGGCTGGCACACAGGGCTGTCTGTGTGTGGGGTTTTGTTTAACAGGGCCTGGGAGTGCCTGCACACCTCAGGCTGGCACACAGGGCTCTCTGTGCCCTGGGGTTTAACAAACAGGGCCTGGGAGTGCCTGCACACCTCAGGCTGGCACACAGGGCTCTCTGTGCCCTGGGGTTTAACAGGGCCTGGGAGTGCCTGCACACCTCANGAGGATGGGGATCCTCTTCACCAGGATATGGAGGCTCTTCAACCACCAGGGTGAGGCCCGGGGGGATCCGGGAGGGACCCACAGCCGCTCCGGGGCGGCCGCACCGGCTCCTGGAAGTCGGGGGCTTTAACCTTTTTTTTTTCCACCTTCTTTCAATTACTGGAGTGCTCATTTCCTGACAGCCGCCTGTTAAATTATTAACGTGTGCTGCTCCTCAGAGGAGCCCGGCCGTGGCGCGGCGTGGCGGGTGGGTTCGTCCTGCTGTCGGCAGAGTGCGGGTTTAAGTGGCAGTGCTGGATAAGTGGTTCGTTCACGGAGTAAATGTTATTTATAGCTTCGGTTGTGGCTGCCCCTGGATCCCTGCAAGTGTCCCAGGCCAGGTTGGACAGGGCTGGGAGCAGCCTGGGACATGGAAGGTGTCCCTGCCCATGGCAGGGGGGTGGCACTGGTTAATCCTTGATTTCTCGTCCAACCCAAACCATTCCGGGATTCTGGCATTTTAAACACCCGTGTCCTTACAGCTAGGTGTTCATGAGAGTTGTAACTTCAACTACAAAACACCTCCCGATGCTCTTTCCATGTTCCTGAAGTCCTTGGGATCTGATTCAGAGTGAAGCTCAGTACTCTCACACCTGCTGGTTGAATGTCCCAGTTATGTCCCCGTTACCGTGTAGTGCAAATACAGCAAAATATTTTTGTCTTGTAGCGTCCAGCCCCACCTCAAAGCTTCTGTTCCAACTGATTTCCTAACATCCACTATGCTGGCAGCATCCCACCTGAAACAAAAGTTCCTAGTTATGTGGGGTCAGGTAAGCAGACACTTTTACAATATTGTGCAGTTGTGCAAAGTTATTAAGACTGGAATTTGTATTGGAGGGCATGAAAGACAACTCTGCAAAACCACACAATATTGGTAAAATTAAACCCCAGACAGCCCCACTTACCTGACCCCTGTCCCCTCCCTCTCCTGTGGGATAAATCAGTTTGCTGGTAGGGATTGATCTCAGTGTCTGAAGCTTGGGTATGTTTTTAATGCTTTTTGTTGCCCTTGAGAAACACGGGGAAGGAGGGGAGAAACCCCCTTGTCACCAAGCTTTTACTGGACTGCTCCTGCTTGGTTGTGCAAGTGAAAGTTGAGTAACAGAGCTGAGAGCTGGCTGTGCTCTCCCAAACTGGAAATCATCCGTTTTGATGTGTTTGACTACCAGTTGTAGAGTTCCCAGCCACTTTTGTGGTGCACAGGAGAGCAGGTGCCGAAGGGAGGCAAGGATTGATGGGGCACTGAGCTCCACAATGTCAGAAGTGGGGTGTGGTGACTTGTCCAAGGCCAGGCTGGGTAAATGTGTCCTGTGAAATGTTGGGGGGCACAGGGATCACCCCGGCCTGGTTGGGTTTTACCTGTTCTTTGCAGAGACATCAAGAGATTGCCTGGGTGAAGGGAAGGTGGAGTTGGGAGCTGAAAAGCTGAAAGTGGAGTTGGGAGCTGCAAAGTTCCCAGTGGAGTTGAGAGCTGTTGTGGCTGGGGGGTGCAGTGTGACACAGGCTGCACAAGCCTGCAGGAGCCTGGGAGAGGATCCCAGCGTGACCCTGGCAGTCAGGGATGGAAAACCCTTCTGAGATCTCTCAGGGCCGGTTCTGTGGAGGGGAGAGCTGCCAGCCCCTTCCCTGCCCACACAAACTTCCTGGGCTGGCCCACAAACACACCTGGCCATGGCACCTGGAGCTGGGCACTGTTGGCTCAGGAAACCAGAGGCAAACGTGGCACTGACTCTGATCCAGCCCCACGGCTGTGCCTTACCCGTGCTGTTTTCATTGCAGAGCACAAGGTGATCATTGTGGGCCTGGACAATGCAGGGAAAACGACCATTCTGTACCAATTGTAAGTAGCACCTGTGGGGGCATTTCCAGCTGTGCTCCGTGGCCCTGGGTGCTTCACTCTGAGCTTTCCAGGTGCCACAGGGTGCCTGGAGCTTGGGAAGGGCTCTGCTGGATGGATGAGGGTTTGTTCAGGGGGTTTGGATGCATCACCTGCTGTTAGCAGGCACTCCCAGCACCCTTGGTGTCACGGCCCTGGCTCTCTGCCAGCCCCATAAAATATGATTGGAGTGAGTGCTGGCCACGTTTGCAAAACTGATCCACGGCACAGACTTGAGCAGCACCCAGATCACTCTGTGAGTGGCAAAGCACCTCTGCCTGCCCTGACTTGTGTCCCCAGCGCTGAGATCAGTTTGTTTGTGGGATGGCATGAAGGAGGAAGGCTGGACCAGCACAAACCCAGGACAACACCCCCGTGCTGTCCTGCACCTTCTGCCTTCCACAGCAGCATTGATTTGTGTTTGCCTTGCATTAACCTTGCTCCTGGTTTACATGGAGCTCAAATGAGTTTCATATCTCGGTTCCCAGCTGCAGTTTGATAGAGGACACCAGTCTGTCCACAGGCTCAGAAGCAGCTCAAGGTCTGTTTGTGCTGGGGACAGATTGGCCTTTCCCACGTGCAACGTGTGGCACTGAGGAGTGTTCCTGAGTCAGAAATAATTCCTGATAAATGATGTGGCCATGCTGCTCCAAGCCCACATGTAAAATTGGCTTTGTGGAATGGCTGGGGTTTGTCACATCCCAACCTGCTTTGCCTTTCCCCAAACATTTCTGGCTGCTGGTGCCCTGCCACACTGCAGGGCTCAGAGTGGAAGGTGAAGGTGATGGTGATTTATAGAGGGAGTGAGAGATGTTAAAAAGCACAGAGTGAAGGGTATTTCTTAAGTCTGGAAACTGCTGCAGCTGAGGGCCGTCCTTGGTGGTTTTTAATCCACTTCCTCCATAAATGTCTCGCTGTTCTTCCCCTTATTTCTGCAGTTTCAGTGCTTTCTTTTCCCTCTCATACAGATCTCTGTCTGTCTCCTTTTTCTTTGTACCCACTCTGACTCCACAGGACATTCCCAACTCCCCTGTTCTCCTGCCTTACTCCTCCTTAACCCTGCCCCATCCTTGCAGATCCCATTTTTCCTCTTGCAGACACTTCCTCGTCTCCCATTCTCACACTCAGCTCTCCTTGCACTGGCCCAGGGTAACTGGGATTGTTTTTCAGAGCTCTGCACCATCCCTTTATCTCCTTGGCTCTCTGTATCCTCTTCAGGAAATATCCCAGCACCATTACAAGTCTCAAATTGCTGTCACTGTAACTAAAAGCCCTGCTGGAACTTCAAAAAGGTTCATACAAAATGAAAAGCTATATCAAGATGATCAGAAGAAAAAATAATTAAGTTCTTTTGAACACAGATGGTTTGCCTTGGAGCTACTGTTAATTTTTTTGCCTGTTACAGTAGAGTTTAAATAGTTTGAACTTATGGAGAATCCAGAGCACACATTTGGCTATTTGATATGCAACTGGTGCTCTTAGTGACAAAGTCACACTCAGTATCACTAAACAGTACATTTGAAATGTTTAATGGCTTCATTTGTCTCCAGAAAGTTGTGTATGGGCTGTGCTGAGGGGAGAAGAGGAGGAAGTTGGGACAGGAGCATTGTGAAGAGTCTGGGTTTAGTGGCCTGCCCTGGAAGGAGAGCGGGATGGAGTGGGTGAAGTGTTTCTGGTGGAGCTGGAGGATGAGCTGTTGTTTTTCTGAAACCTTGGAAATCTTGTGGCTTAACCACATTCTTGAAGCAAAACAACTGCTGTGTCCCATGTCAGCCAAAATGGGCCTGGAGAAAGAAGAGCTGAGTGCTCCCAAAAGCTTCTGAAGCAAAAATGCTCTCAGCTCCGTGGTTTAATTAATTATAACACATTTTGTTCACAAGTGCTCTCTCAGCTCCATAATTTGATTATTCCATAGTTCACTGAGTCCTTTTCATTGCTGTTTTTATTTACGTTTGCCCCTTCCACCAGCAGCCCTTGCCTTGGCTGCCCAGGGAGCGTTGCTGAGGTTCTGCCCTGGGCTGCAGCTCCGGGGGCGGCTCTGAGTGACTGTCCTGTCCTTGTCCCTGTCCCCTGTGCAGCTCCATGAACGAGGTGGTTCACACCTCTCCCACCATCGGCAGCAACGTGGAGGAGATCGTGGTGAACAACACGCGCTTCCTGATGTGGGACATCGGGGGGCAGGAGTCCCTGCGCTCCTCCTGGAACACCTACTACACCAACACCGAGGTGACAGCCCTGCCCCTGCCCTGCACGGCACTCTGCTGTCCTGTCCAAGGGGCTGGGCTGGTGCCCTCACTGCTCTGGGAATNCCTGACTGCAGACATCTCATGGTCACTGTGAGCTCTCTGTGTACTTTGTGTTCTTCAGGGCAAATGTCGCCAGAATTCAGCGGTGGCTGATGTTTGCTGACACATTGTGGTGTTGTCAGGGCTTTTGGGGTGGAAATGCTGATGTTCGGTCTGTAGGGGTGGTCAGCAGAGGTGACAATTCCAGACTCACCTGGAGTGGTTGTTGTCATAAATTCCAGACTCACCTGGAGTGGTTATTGTCATAAATTCCAGCCTCTGTGATCAGTTCCAGCTTCACCTGGAATGGTTGCTGTGATCAATTCCAGCCTGTGGGATCAATCCCAGACTCACCTGGAATATTTGCTGCGATCAATCCCAGACTCACCTGGAATGGTTGCTGTCATAAATTCCAGCCTCTGTGATCATTTCCAGACTCTCACCTGGAATATTTGCTGCGATCAATTCCAGACTCACTTGGAATGGTTGCTGTGATCAATTCCAGACTCACCTGGAGTGGTTATTGTCATAAATTCCAGCCTCTGTGATCAGTTCCAGCCTCACCTGGAATGGTTGCTGTGATCAATTCCAGACTCTCACCTGGAATATTTGCTGTGATGGTGCTTTGAAGTGCATGTGTGTGAACTCAGAAATGTTCTAACTTTACTCACCGAGAGGAGCAGCCAAACTTCTGATCCCTCCAGCCCTTTGTGTGGTGTGTAAGTGCTCCTTGTTAACAGCTGTTTTCTTTTCCCTGTGGGGAAATTGCCGTTTTTCTCCCAGCCCAGTGCAGGAGCTTTGCTCAGTGCTGCTCCCGCAGGTTCCTCCCCTGGCTGGCACCTGGTGTGTGATTGATGCTGCTGCTGTTCCACCCTCGGGGTTCTGCTGCCTTGGCTTCCAGCTGCAGCTCAAGCTTTGCCTTGGTTCGCCATGAAATTCACTCTCAGCAAAAGGGAGGGGCCTTAAAAATGGTTATTGAAGTGCTGCTGCAAAATGACATTTTAGTAGCAAAACAAAGAAAAAGGTCGTATTTCAATAATCTGATATTTCTTTTGGTTCAGAAGATCATCAGTTTGGTGAATCATCTCTGGATATGCTGCATCTGGCATCTGGGAATTATACAGGTCTTTAATTGTGAGGAGAGGTGGAAAATAAACTTGGGGAACGTGAACAGCTTCATTTTTTTAATATCTTTTCTCTTTGGGAGGCTGAGCAGCTGCTCTGCTGAGCACTGAGTAGGTGTGGGATGGTAAATGCACCTGACCAGCACCTTCTGCAGCTCAAGTGCCTAAATCTAATTCCATAATCAGCTTTATTTCCCATTCCCATAGAACAGAGATACAGATCTATGAAAGCCTCCCAGTGTGTGGAAGTGAGTGGGTTTTCCCCTCCCCACACCCAAGTTTTAACAGGATTTGTGATAAATTTGTTCCAGTTCTCCCGTCCCTGCCATTCCAAGCACTTTTCCATTTATCAGGCATCACCGAGCTGGGGACAGGAAATACTGAATTTGTCCTTGTGTCAGGTTGATTGGCTGGAATTCCTGTCGAGGGACTTTTTAAATAACTCAATCCAGGAATCCTTGGCCTTGGGAAGCTCCTGGTGGCTGTGCTTCCTTCCATGCTGCCTGGTGGAACACTGGAGTTTGTCACTGTCAGATTAATTAGGTCTGAAAAGGAATTGTCAGCTAATTGAGATGAATGTGCTGGGCAGGGCAGGGCTGATCCCTGGCACCAGGAGTGGCACTGAGGAAGGAAAATGTGATAATCCAGATGTGGATAATGCAGATGTGGCCTGGTTATAAATCCAGATTGACTTGAATGTATTGTAGTGGTGAATACATTAAATGGCCAAAAATGATTAATTATGAGGGGCTGCCTCTGTAGCTTTTTATTGCACGTGTGAGAATCATGAGTGGGAATTCTCTCCTTGCCTTACCAGTGAATTTTTCTGTTGTAGCTTTATCCACAGTGGAGTCACTTTACCACCCTGAGCCTTTTAAGCCAGACTTTGGGTAAGGACAGAGTTCAGAATGTACAAAATGATGAGTTCAGAATGTACAAAATGATGAGTTCAGAATGTACAAAGCGATGGCTTCACATCAATCCCGAGCCTCAGGAGGGCTGGAGCTGGGGCTGCACTCACGCATGGGCATTAAAGTCATTCAGCCCAAACATTTCATAGAGCTGTTTATTATAGTAAAGGAAAACCAGGATTCTATTAAGCAACTTTTTTTTTTCCCCCCCTGAAATTTGATCAGAGCATTCCTTGAATTGTTTCCCCTTTGCCGCTTTCAGACTCTGTTTTTCAAGCAGCTGAAGGGAACTCATTCTCTTAATTCTTGTTGAAGTGGAGCAAATACAGATTTGGGCTGGGGAGCTCTGTACCATCATATTTATGCATTTATAGATGATGTCCATTGCTAATTCTTTAAAACCTACCAGTATTTATGATCTTAAGTTGAAAACACTTGTAAAAATGTGCCTGTTTGCATTAAACTTTGTTTGTGGGAGTTGCAGTGAAAGTTTTCAAGCCAGTATGTGATTGCTGACCTGCTTTTTGGGGCTGTTCAGGTGTTTTTGGGGTGAAATGTGCTGTTCTGCCCAGCCTGTGATGGAGGGGGTTTGTTTGGTGATAAGTCTGTGCTGGTTGGTGTCAAGAACGGGAATTAAAATGAGTGTGAAATGTTTTTCTGTCAGAAATGCTGAATCCCAGGGATGTGCCCCTCTTCCATGCCCACATATCCCACACAGGTACCTGTGAGCGCTGCAGGAAACTTCTCAAAAAGCAAAAGAGATGGAGCCAAGCTGAGTTGGGAGATCAAATTCCCAGATTTGTGTTTGTGGGCTGGATGTGGCCCTCAGTGCTCGGGGCTGGGTGCCAGGGAGGGTCGGGCACAGGTTGGACTCGGTGACCTTGGAGGCTTTTCCAGCCTTGGTGACCCCAGGGTTTGTAAAGGGAGTTCCTGAACAGCTCTGCAGCCCCCCCAGCCCTG